TACTGACTGAGCCAGCCAGGTGCCCCTCCATCCATTTACTTTTAATTTGCATGTATTTTTATACATAATGTGTATTTCTTGTAGGTTACTTATAGTAAGGTTGTGTGTTTTGATCTGTTCTGATAATGTGTGTATTTTAATTGGTACATTTAGGTCATTGACATTCAAACTGACTATTGATATAGCTGAGTTACTATCTACCATATTTGTTACTCTTTTCAATTTGTTGCCCTTGTTCTGTATTTGTCTCCTATTCTTTTACTGCCTTTTGTGGGTGTAATTGAGCATTTAATATGGTTCCATTTTTTCCTTCCTTTCTTAGCGTATCAGTTATCGTTCTTTTTAAACTTTTTTTTTTAAGTGTTACCCTACAATTTGCAACGTACATTTACAACTAACCCGAATCCATTTTCGGATAACACTGTACCGCTTCATTACTCATACGAGTAATGTATAATAATAAAGTAATCCTAATTCCTTCGTCCTGTCTTTTGTATCATTGCTGCCATTCATCTCACTTATATATAAGCATACCTAAGCATATGCATACATAAGATATATTCATAAGCATATATAGTCAAATACATTGTTGCTATTGTAATTTTGAACAAACTGTTATGTCAATTAAGAATAAGAAAAATAAAGTTTTTATTTTACCTTTACTTAATCCTTTGATGCTTTTCCTTTCTTTATATAGATCAGATTTTCTGGCCTATATTTTTTCCTTCTCTATAAAGAATTTCTTTTAACATTTCTTGCAAGGCAGGTCCACTGGCAACACATTTCCCCAATTTATGTTTGTCTCTGAAACTCTATTTTTCCTTTACCTTTGAAGGATTATTTTGCAGTATACAGAAATCTAGATTGGTGTTTTTTTTCCTATCACTACTTTAAATATTTCACTGCACTCTTGTTGCTTGCGTGGTTTCTGAGGAGAAGTTGGATGTAATTCTTTGTTTCTGCATAAGTAAGATGCTTCTGTCCTCTGGCTTCTTTCAGGATTTTTTTCATCATCTTTTATTTTCTATATTTTGAAAATGATATGCTAACATTTGTTTGTTTGTTTTTTCTCTTGCATTTATCCTGCTTGGTGTTCTCTGAGCTTCCTGGATCTGTGATATAGTATCTGACATTAATTTTGAGGAAATTGTCTATCGTTACTGTTTCAAATATTTCCTTTGTTTCTTTCTCTCTTTCTTCTCCTTCTGGTACTCTCATTACATGTATGTTATACCATTTATAGTTGTCTCGAAGTCTTTGGATAGTCTTTTTTTTCCTTATTCTTCCCTTTTTGGTTTTTGAGAATTCTAATGACATATCCTCTAGCTTAGAGATTCTTTCCTGAGGTGTGTCTACTCTATGAACAAACCCATCAGAGACATTCTTCATTTTGTTAGTGTTTTTTACCTCCAGCATTTCTTTTTGGCTCTTTCTTAGGATTTTCATCTCTGGTTCCATCGCCATCTGTTATTGCATGCTGTCGACTTTCCTCATTACAGCCCTTAGCATAGTAATTATAGTTGCTTTAATTCCGGCACCCCTGCCATGTCTGGTTTCAATGCTTGTTCTGTGTCTTTAAGTTGTTTTTTTTTTGCCTTTTGATATATCTTGTAATATTTTCTTGATAGCTGGGCATGATGCCCTGGATAATAGGAACTGCTGTAAATAGGCTTTAGTAACCTGGAGTTGAGGTGTGGGGGAGGGGAAGAGCTTTATAGTCCTATGATAGGTGTCAGTCTTTTAGTCTACTTATACTTCTGGAGAGTGAACTTTGAAAGTGTTTCTCATTTTTTGCTCCCTGCCTTAGGTGGGACAGGATGGCTGGAGTAGGATGAAGTTGGATATTTCTCTTTCCCAGGCCAGTTAGATAATACCACAGCTGCTTAGACACTGCTCAACTAGTTTTTGCTGATGGTAGGCCTTGTTAAGAACAGAGCTCTGGCATATTTCAGAATGGCTCCCTTTTCTTCCTCCTATGGAAGGGGGAAGAGAGTTTTCTCCAAAATTTCCTTGGGGATCTGGCTGAGCTCCTGGAGATAAATCTCACAATATTGTGGGGCCCCTCTGAGACTGGGTTCTTCTGGAGTTTTTGAACTTTTAGATTTGTCCACACTGAGCATCCAGTAATTTGTCAATTACAGTTCAGGTTTTCCTGCCTTGGCATTGGTTCCTGCAAAGGTTTTCACTTGTGAGTCTGCTCCAGTTAAAATATTGTAACTTAAAAACAACCACTAACCAACAGCAAAGTAGGCTTTCCCAAATGATGCAACCACATACAAAACAGCCAACAGATAATTTCCTCACTTTGCTTCCACATCTGCTCTATGAAAGCCTTTTCTTTAGCTTCTACCATTAGAGTGCTCCGCACTTCTTTCAGTTTGATAATGCCCTGTGTAAATTGGTGTTTGATCAAATAATCCCACATAAATTTTAATGTGCTTCAGTTTATCTTTTAACACACTAATGCATATTTTATTTATTTATCTACTTGATTTTTAAAAAGGTAACACATAAATATGCTATAAAATTTGAATGACTTTCCCTGCCACCTTTGCATGTTGGCTATTTAGCTATATCCTCTATATCCATCAGAGGGATTTTATTCATATACAAAAATATGGATGTCTATGGAGCAGTATGTGCGTGTATGTCAAATCGCAACACTCTACACACTGACCTTCCTCTTACTTTTTTCACTTAATATATCTTAGTGATTATTGTGTATCAGTGGACATAAAACTTCTTTTTTCTTTTTAATTGCTGCAGTTTATTTCATTGTATGGATACACCTTAATTCACTTAACCAGTGATATATTTGGAAAGTGCTTTGTGATTCAATCTGCAATCTTTTATTTTAATAGATGAGTTTAGCCCATTTACAGTTATGATGTAACAGACAAGTACAGTCTAATTATCATTTTTTCCCTTTTAAGAGTCATTATGGCTTAGTGGTTAAGAGTAAGAAATCTAAATATTTTACATTCAAATCAGCTGCAAGTCTGGATGTGCTTACATGGCATACATTCTGGACATGAAGGATAACTAAAGAAAAATGAAACGTTTTCAGGAAAAGACAGAGGGCACAGTGACTAGGTTCTAATTCTGCCTTTGACAATTACTGCTATGTGATCTTGGACAAGTTACTTAATCTCTGTGTGCTTTGGTTTCCTCCCCTATAAAACAAAATAATAATGGTACCTATTTTATAGGTTTTTATGATTGAATAGTGTCTGGAACATAGTAAGGAGCATATAAATATTTGTTATTAGTATTTATAATATACCGTTTTAGTACACCTTTAAAAATATTTTCTATATAATCTTTGAATTATTTTTAAAATATTGATTAGTTTCCTTTGGTAATTTAGAAAGGTTTTATATTTTACTATTTGTTACCTTTATAACTATAGCATTTGTAATATACTTAATCCTTTGTAAAGTAATTATTATGTTTCTGTTTCCTTTTCTCTCCACTTACTCATCTGACTTTTTTCTTTTTTTCTTTTATTATTTTTTTTAACTCATCTGATTTTCGAAGACATCTTATTTATCTTACTGTTTACCATTAAACCTTTAATTATGTCTTATAATTTAAAATTTCAGGTTGAAAATATAATTCTGACCCACTGACAAGGAAATCAGCATATATACACTTTTGTTTGTATCTTATTTCTTCAAAATTTGTTAGTAATATCATTAGTGCCTGTTGGGTTTTAAATATTCACCTTCTGTTTTGTGACCATGATGCCAACATTTGTCTAAGACTTAGTCCCACACTAATGGATTCACTGTTCACCTTCAAAATTTTTTGCTGTCATCTTTTACTTGAATGGCAATTTTGTTGGGTATAAATTTCCTAGATCTCTCTTTGATTGAAGGTTTTCAGGGCTGTGTTCTAGTGGTTTCTTTCCCTTTCATCACGGCAACATTTTCAGATGAATGTTCATCCACCATTTCTGTTTCCTTCTCTGTCTTTCCTCCTTTCTTAAAGTCACTTTGAATAGATCCTAGATTGGTTTCTTTTTGATTATTTCTTATCTTGTAACAAAGTGAGCCATTCCTGGACTAGCTATTTATAGAAGGTTCATTTGGGGGACAAGCTGTGATCTTGTTCCAGTCTAGCAGAAATCCACCATGGTTCACAGTGATGTTCCTTACAATGCAAGCTTGATTTGTGGGATTGACTTCCGTTATCCTTGCATTTGCTGGTTTGCTCACAATGAGTTGTTTTGCCTTACATTTGGCCTTACCAAGAGATTGCTTCCAGCAAATGAGTTTCTGTGTGATTATTCAGGCCTCCCTTCCCTGCTGTTCCTTGGTACCATTCAGTTCTAGGGTTGCTTTCACTGACAGTCCATGAATCTTGTTCCTACTAATCAAAGAAGGAGTTTTTTGTTTTTGTTTTTCCTTTTTGGGTTATGTAACCAATTTTGGATTACTCTGCTCTACCAGCTTTTTAACCACAGGCTCTTGGTATCTTCCTAAACTTCTGTTTGACCTTGACTACATTTGTCAGTCTCACCTCATTTGCTGTAGTGGGGGTCATAGATCCTGCTTAGTTTTATCAAAGATAGAGCTTTTTCTTGGTTTTATTCTCTGAGAGGAGAATTGGACAGTATGGTCTTTTAACTATAATTGAAAGACCAGAATATATATATATATATATATATATATATATATATATATATATTCAAAATACATATTTATATGTATAAATATAAAAAATATATTTTAAAGATTTTGTTTATTTATTCATGAGAAACACACACACACACACACACACACACACAGACGCAGAGACAGAAGTAGAGGGAGAAGCAGGCTCCATGCAGGGATCCTGATGTGGGACTTGATCCCAGACCGCAGGATCATGCCCTGAGCCAAAGGCAAGCACTCAACCCCTGAGCCACCCAGGCGTCCCACACTAAGATTTTATATTGTGACTTATTGCTAAATAATTTGATGTTGTAAAAATGATTTTGCATTTTTTTTTTACAACAGCAACTGAGGCATGAAAATCTGGTGAATCTGTTGGAAGTGTGTAAGAAAAAAAAACGATGGTACCTAGTCTTTGAATTTATTGACCATACAATTCTTGATGACTTGGAGCTCTTTCCCAATGGACTAGACTACCAACTGGTTCAAAAGTATTTGTTTCAGATTATTAATGGAATTGGATTTTGTCACAGTCACAATGTAAGTGTTTAGTTTAAATAATTATTTTGCCAACAATTAACTTACCAGATATCATCACTTAATGAGACACTTGCCTAGCCTGAAGTTTGGACCAGTCAAATAATTGAATGAACAGTGTTACTTTGATATTTGCCAATTTTCATGTTTCATCATAATGTGGTCTTTCCTCCAACATTTTATTATAAAAATTTTAGTTTATATTGAAAAGTGAAAGAGTGTACATGAATAGAGTGTACATGAATACCCACCCACACAACTACCACATGGATTCTTTACCTGTTAACATTTTACTGTATTTGCTATATGACATTTATTCATGTAGTCATTCATTTATCTACCCATTAACCTGTGTTATTTATTTATGCATAAGTTGCAGACATCAGTACACTTCAACTTTAAATACTTCAGCTATGCATATTAAATTATTTGTTTGCCTCTTTTTTTTTAAGATTTTATTTGTTTGAGAGAGAGAGAGTAAGCCAGCGAGAGAGCACACAAGCTGGGGCAGTAGCAGAGAGAGGGAGAAGCAGACTCCCCACTGAGTAGGGAGCCAGATGCAGGGCTTATTCCCAGGACCCTGGGATCATGACCCAAGCGGAAACTGAGCCACCAGGAGCCCCATGTTTTTTGTTTTTTAGGTGACATTTGCTAAGTGAAAAGCACAAATTTTAAGTTCAGATTCTCTTGCCTAGTTGTGAAATATGAAAATCCCTGCTTTTACTCTATTGTCTATCACAATAATTTTATATCCTTTGAGAATCATATAAAAGCACCTGTAGGTGAAATGACACTTGTAAGTATAAAATAAATAACTCAACACATTGATTCTGCCCAGTTCATTTTTTTAAGGTTTTATTTGTTTATTCATGAGAGACACAGAGAAAGGGAGATGCAGGCAGATGGAGAAGTAGGCTCTGTGCAGGGAGCCCCACGTGATACACGATCCCGGGGCCGGGATCCACGATTACGCCCTGAGCTGAAGGCAGGTGCTAAACCACTGAGCCAGACAGACACCCTGATTCTGCCAGTTTTATGAAATATATTTTTTAAAGACTTTATTTATTTGGCAGATAGAGTCAGATAGAGTCAGAGAGCAGGGGGAATGGCAGAGGGAGAGGGAGAAGCAGACTTCTTGCTGAGCAGAGCCTGATGCTGGGCTTGATCTCAGGACCCTGGATCATGACCTGAGCTGAAGCCAGATGCTTAACTGACTGGGCCACCCAGGCACCCCTTACCAAATATTTTTAAATCACATTTTAAAATGTGTGTGATCGTATAATGCAATCCCTATCAAAATACCATGGACTTTCTTCAGAGAGTTAGAACAAATTATTTTAAGATTTGTGTGGAATCAGAAAAGACCCCGAATAGCCAGGGGAATTCTAAAAAAGAAAACCATATCTGGGGGCATCACAATGCCAGATTTCAGGTTGTACTACAAAGCTGTTGTCATCAGGACAGTGTGGTACTGGCACAAAAACAGACACATAGATCAATGGAACAGAATAGAGAACCCAGAAGTGGACCCTGAACTTTATGGTCAACTAATATTCGATAAAGGAGGAAAGACGATCCACTGGAAGAAAGACAGTCTCTTCAGTAAATGGTGCTGGGAAAATTGGACATCCACATGCAGAAGAATGAAACTAGACCACTCTCTTGCACCATACACAAAGAAAAAGTCAAAATGGATGAAAGATCTAAATGTGAGACAAGATTCCATCAGAATCCTAGAGGAGAACACAGGCAACACCCTTTTTGAACTTGGCCACAGTAACCTCTTGCAAGATACATCCACAAAGGCAAAAGAAACAAAAGCAAAACTGAACTATTGGGACTTCATCAAGATAAGAAGCTTTTGCACAGCAAAGGATACAGTCAACAAAACTCAAAGACAATCTACAGAATGGGAGAAGATATTTGCAAATAACATATCAGATAAAGGGCTAGTTTCCAAAATCTATAAAGAACTTATTAAACTCAACAGCAAAGAAACAAACAATCCAATCATGAAATGGGCAAAAGACATGAAGAGAAATCTCACAGAGGAAGACATAGACATGGCCAACATGCACATGAGAAAATGCTCTGCATCCCTTGCCATCAGGGAAATACAAATCCAAACCACCTCACACCAGTGAGAATGGGGAAAATTAACAAGGCAGGAAACAACAAATGTTGGAGAGGATGCGGAGAAAAGGGAACCCTCTTACACTATTGGTGGGAATGTGAACTGGTGCAGCCACTCTGGAAAACTGTGTGGAGGTTCCTCAAAGAATTAAAAATAGACCTGCCCTACGACCCAGCAATTGCACTGTTAGGGATTTACCCCAAAGATTCAGATGCAATGAAACGCCGGGGCACCTGCACCCCGATGTTTCTAGCAGCCATGTCCACAATAGCCAAACTGTGGAAGGAGCCTCGGTGCCCATCGAAAGATGAATGGATAAAGAAGATGTGGTTTATGTATACAATGGAATATTACTCAGCCATTAGAAATGACAAATACCCACCATTTGCTTCAACGTGGATGGAACTGGAGGGTATTATGCTGAGTGAAATAAGTCAATCGGAGAAGGACAAACAGTGTATGTTCTCATTCATTTGGGGAATATGAATAATAGTGAAAGGGAATATAAGGGAAGGGAGAAGAAATGTGTGGGAAATATCAGAAAGGGAGACAGAACATAAAGACTTCTAACTCTGGGAAATGAACTAGGGGTGGTGGAGGGGGAGGAGGGCGGGGGGTGGGGGTGAATGGGTGACAGACACTGAGGGGGGCACTTGACGGGATGAGCACTGGGTGTTATTCTGTATGTTGGTAAATTGAACACCAATAAAAATTAATTTATTAAAAATAATAAAAAAATAAAATGTGTGTGATTGTATAAGTAACAAATGCTAATAGTAGATATGGGACTGACCCTGTGACCTCACCCGGATGTCTAGGATGAGACAGAAGTTTTAGCCTATGCAAAATGCTCAGCAGTGACAGATTGCTATTTAGGATGCTGGTCCTCTGAAAGAGTTTAAAATAAATATATTATAAAAATTTTCAAAATGAAGCTTTTGTGTATTAGAGAATGAGGCCTAGTAGTTTACTTGGCCTAGCTGTGGATTTTTAGTATTGTCTCCCAGCATCCTGTTTTCTGCTTCCATGGTCTCCTTTAAAAATCTTAACCACTGACTTTGTTGTACCCTTTTTACATTTCTAATTGCCTGATGAATGTCTCCACCTAAAAGCCCATATGGCTAAAACTAAACTAGTAATTATTCCATCAGAGCTAGCTTTTTTAAGACTTCTTTTTATGGAACCACCATTAGATTTAGATTTAGATTTCCAGGTTTAAGTAAAATATCTGAGATTACTTCCTAAATTCTGTTGATTTTTATTGAGAATATTTCTAAATTGTATCTTTTCCATTCCGTTTCTCTGAACACAAGCCTAGTTTAGGTTCTTACCATCTCATAATGTCCCAGTGTTCTTCTCCTGGCCTCTCTCCCTCTTTCTAATTTAGTTTATTTATGGCCAATATCTTTAAACACCATATTGATTATGTCACTTCCATGGGTTTCCATTGCCTTGACACAAACTCAGACTTCCCAGTCTGGCAGTTGAGGCAGCCTTCCTCCCTAGTGTATAACCTCCACTTTAGAAAAATATTTCCCTAGAGTTTCCTGATCTATTTTTGTCTTCACTTTTTCTTCTTTTTTAAAATTAATTAATTATTTTAAAGATTTATTTATTCATTCATTCATTCATTCATTCATGAGAGACAGAGAGGCAGAGACGCAGGCAGAGGAAGAAGCAGGCTCTCTGCAGGGAGCCCAGTGTGGGACTTGATGCCAGGACTCCAGGATCATGCCCTGAGCCAAAGGCAGGTGCTCAACCACTGAGCCACCCAGACATCCCTCTTTTTCTTTTTTTAAAAAGGATTTATTTATTTATTTATTTATTTATTTATTTATTTATTTGAGAGAGACAGAGACAGAGAGAGGGAAAGAGATGGAGAGAGAGATAAGCAGATTCCCCGCTGAACAGGGAGTGGGACTGGGGGCTGGATCCCACAACCCTGAGATCATGACCTCAGCCAAAATCAAGTCAGATGCTCAACCTGGAGCTGAGCCACCTAGGCGCCCCTCAAATTCAGTCTTTTGCTCTCCTTGTTACTTTCATTTGGATTGTCCTTCCATTTATCCAGGTTGCACATAGTATTAAAGACCTCTCTTAGAACCCAGCCCTTCATTAAAATTTTCCATGACCACTCTAGTCTTCAATGATAGCCTTACTCTGTTATCTGTTAGTCTTGAGAGTGAGTAGTCATTAACAGAACAGTTGATTTGGTATTTAATAATATATATTTCATCCAATATCTTTGATTGTCTAAGTGAAATTTCAAGCATTCGTATTTCTTGCCTCACCAGGTCCCAATTACTTGAGAGCCAGGGACGATTTTATGTGCTTTTACTTGTATTTTTTATAGGGAGAAAAATAGTACCCTGCACATGGCAGGTCCTCAAAAAATAATTTGCTTAACTTGATGTCCCAATATATGCCATATTCTGTTTTTTTGTCTTAGATTATACACAGAGATATAAAGCCAGAGAACATATTAGTCTCCCAGTCTGGTGTTGTCAAGTTATGTGATTTTGGATTTGCACGAACATTGGCAGCTCCTGGGGAAATTTATACTGATTATGTGGCAACCCGATGGTACAGAGCTCCAGAACTATTGGTCGGTGATGTCAAGTATGGCAAGTAAGACATCCATGAGGGTGTGGAGGGCGGGTTTAATCCTTTTTTCTTGATAATATAACTTTTTCCTGATAATATGTTTCTAATTTAATCAAAGATCCTTGTAGCACTGAAAGGAAGTTTTGCACTTGGGAGCTGACTTATTCTTTTGGGGGCCTCCTTTTTAAATGTTTTTGGTGCAATGAGTTGGGGAAAGCATACTTATTTTAAAGGTAGGGAAGTCAAGGTGAGTAAGTGGGCTATATTTTACCACGGGTTGGAAATAGATATATTTATCACTTGTAAAGAGAGGAAGTGTTTTTTTTTAATTTCTTTTTATTTCTTTTAATTTTTATTTAAATTAAATTTGCCAACATATAGTATAACACCCAGTGTTCATCCCATCAAGTGTCCTCCTTAGTGCCTGTCACCCAGTCACCCCATCTCCCTACCCACTTCCCCTTCCACAACCTTTTGTTTGTTTTCCAGAGTTAGGAGTCAAGAGAGGGAATGTTGATTGGCTAAATCTGACAGTGTTGGAATGAGGCAAGGTGAAGATGGCAAGGATGGGGGTAGAAACATATTTGAGTAAGATGATTTTTTTTTTAAGTAAGATGTTTTTATTTTTTTAATTTTTTTAATTTTTTTTAAATTTTCTTTTTTTTTTTTAATTTTTATTTATTTATGATAGTCACACAGAGAGAGAGAGAGAGGCAGAGACACAGGCAGAGGGAGAAGCAGGCTCCAGGCACCGGGAGCCCGATGTGGGATTCGATCCTGGGTCTCCAGGATCGCGCCCTGGGCCAAAGGCAGGCGCCAAACCGCTGCGCCACCCAGGGATCCCGTAAGATGTTTTTATTTTTTTTTTTTTTTTTTTATTTTTTTTTTTTTTTAATTTTTATTTATTTATGATAGTCACAGAGAGAGAAAGAGACATAGGCAGAGGGAGAAGCAGGCTCCATGCACGGGGAGCCCGATGTGGGATTCGATCCAGGGTCTCCAGGATCGCGCTCTGGGTCAAAGGCAGGCGCCAAACCGCTGCGCCACCCAGGGATCCCCGTAAGATGTTTTTAAAATAAATTATCTGCACAAATGAATTATTTAGATAAGAAGGGATGGCAACCTTTACTGCTTTTGGTAGAAATCTTCCTAAAATGTTTTCTATACTTTCTGTGTTTTCAGTGCACGCATCATTTAATATTTTCTTAATTACACTGAGTTCCCATTTATTGTTATATAGTAACCTTTGTACCATTTTATTTTATTTTTTAAAAAGATTATTTTTTAAAAAAGAAAAAGATTGCTTTTTTTGGAGGAGGGAGAGGGGCAGAGGGAGAAAAAGTCTTAAGCAGACTCTTCATAAAGCATGGATCCCAAAATGAGGCTCGATCTCACAACCTGGTCTGAAACCAAGAGTTGGAGACCCATCCGATTGTAACCACCCAGGCTCCCCTATACCATTGTATAATTCAGCTATTACCTTAAGCAATTTCAAGGTAGTTGTCTCTATGCTAAGGACACCAGCATATTCTTCTTTAAGTTCTTGTGACTGATTTTTAAGACAGTTTTTCTATTTTTCCCCTGTTAGCTTTCAGTTCTCCTTGCTGTTACTGAATATGTCTCCAACAGCCTTCTGGTATGCTGTTTTCGGGGTGTGGTGGGATAGGCTGATCAACCTTGTTAGAATTATGTATAAACAAAGAATAGATAGGCTCCAGATGAAAACCCAAAAGGCTTATTTCTAGAATAATGTACACATAATAACAATTTTGACTTTTCAGAAGCCTTTTCCCTCTTATGATTGAAGTTCCTGGAAATATAACTTGGGTAAAATTGGGAATTAGTATTTTAAGTTTATAGGGAAATGTATTTTTATGGGTATTTTAAAGCTTATCACTAGTAGTCTCAATACCAAATATTCAGTCACAATAAACATCGTAGGATGCCAGACTTTATACCACATTGCTTTTATTTCAGGGCTGTTGATGTATGGGCCATTGGTTGTCTGGTAACTGAAATGCTCATGGGGGAACCCCTTTTTCCTGGAGATTCTGATATTGATCAGCTATATCATATTATGATGTGTTTAGGTAAGATTATGCATCTGCATTTTAAATTTTAGAATTTTTTTCCCTTATGTTTTTGTTTGTATTGATTTTACAAGATGTTGGTATATTAAGATGATACGTGTTTTAGCTGACAGTAGAGAGCAAATAGGAAAATCTCAACTATCTATGTATATTAATTCTTCTCAGCCTGGCTTTGGTTTGTCTGACGTATGGTCTTATTCATGCTCTCATATACCCTCCTGTCCCACTCCCCACAAAGACCAAAGACTGTAAATTTTCTCTGTACTTTTGCATTCAGTAAATCACATGTAAATGATGCAAATGATCTTTTTTTTTTCTTTGGGTTAGCAAGCATTTGGTGTACTATGACTATTACCCTCATACTCACCTTCAAATTGAGACACTGAGACTTCTAGGTAGTTTACTTTTTAAAAAATATTTTATTTATTTATTCATGAGAGACACACAGAGAGAGGCAGAGACACAGGCAGAGGGAGAAGCAGGCTCCCTGCAGGGACCCCGATGTGGGACCAAACCCAGGACTCTGGGATCACGCCCTGAGCCAAAGGCAGACGCTCAACTGCTGAGCCACCCAGGCATTCCTTTTTAGGTAATTTAATCTTAGTGCTTTGGACAGAATTTTAAACCTAGACTATCAAAGTCTTCTTACATTTGTTGAAATATTAACTTCATAGTTATTTTAAACTCGATTAGGCACTGAAGTCAAAGAAAAAGTGCTCAAATCAGACCTTAGACATAGGTACAAAATCAACAGGTGTTTTAATTTTTTTAAATTAGAACAATTTGATTTTAATTTTAGAATTAAATTCTCAAAAAGAGTGGAACTGATTAGATTAGATTTTGATCATATGACTAATAATATTTTCATTGTTTTGGATGGCACTTTATGCTTTGTTGTTAGAAGTGAAGTGTTGGTATCTATATCTAAAAAATTATAACATTCTTTACTTGTCCTTTTTCTATGTTCCCTTGTAACTTCAGTTCTATATATAGTGGTTTTGAATTTTCTAAATGAGTAGGTTGAGATAAGAATGTTAATTTTCTTTAGTTCATTTGCATCAACACCACTGTGAATGAAGACCTCCAGGTGCACCACCCTGAGAACACAGTTTTTGGTTGATTTTGCATGCTGAGAGTCTCAAGTCTATAAGCAGTGTTCTACTCTTTGGTCCCATCCACATTATATGTTTCTTTGCCATTTCTATCATGATGTATAATGACAGAGATGTGTGCTTTTCTCACTTCCAGGTAATCTAATTCCAAGACATCAGGAGTTGTTTTATAAAAATCCTATGTTTGCTGGAGTAAGGTTGCCTGAAATCAAGGAAATAGAACCTCTTGAAAGACGCTATCCCAAGCTTTCTGAAGTTGTGATAGATTTAGCAAAGGTAATCAAACTGTTTACTTTCTTATAGTGAATTTATGTTATAGAGACTTGATTTTCTCTTTTTATTGTCTAGTTGATATTTTAGGCCAAAAATTTCAATATTGATTTAATTTAATTTAATTTAATTTAATTTAATTTAATTTAATTTAATTTAATTGACTTATTTATTTTAAGTAAACTCTACCCCTGACATGGGGCTCAAAGTTACAACTCTGGGATCAAGAGTTGTACTCTGAGGTCAAGAATCCCATGTTTTGCCAACTGAGCCAGCCAGAAGACCGCCTCCCACCCAATCTTGCCTTTTTTTTTTCCTGCCAGTAGGTTCCTTTTTTAAAAAATATTTTATTTATTTATTTAAGAGAGAGAGAGAGAGAGACAGAGAGAGAGAGACAGAGAGCACAAGTGGGGAGGAGAGGAAGAAGCAGGCTCCCTGCTCAGAGTGGAGGCTCAACCCCAGGACCCTGGGATCATGACCTGAGCTGAAGGCAGACGCTTAAATAATTGAGCCACCCAGATGCCCCCTGCCAGTAGGTTCTTAAGCTCAACTTGGAGCTCGAACTCCCAACCACAAGATTAAGAGTTACATGCTCCACTGACTGAGACAGCCAGGTACTCTTCTATTGATTTTAATTTTTGTATATTCAGAAAGAGTTTAAATGATTTGGCAGGGGGATATTCAGAGAGAAAGGCCTAAAAAATTTGCTTGCCTTAAGAAACTATTTAGTATTATCTAGCATGTTTTAAGTGAAACATCCTTCCTCACAACAGTATCTTTTTAATGTTTAATACTTAAAATGCAGGCCTATGTAACTAGAAAAGAGAAGAAAAGTAGAATAAGGAAATAAAAAAGAAAGGTAAAGAAGTAGCAAAATATTAAAATGTAGGGCATAGGATCATGACCTATACTGTATCGTTGAAGAGGCTTTCGGTTAGCCCCTGGATTCACTGAAGCTAATTTACAAGTGATCCTCACCTTTGCCTTCTCTTTGAAGAAGATACTAACTGGGAAATTCTCACTGGACCTTTCAAATTGTTAGCTCAAAAAATTCTTATTAATTAGAACAGTTCTGAAGTATTGATAAAATAATTACAGTATAGCTGAAATACCAGGATCATATGACACTTACTCAAGATATTTTTGCTTTTTAAATTTTTGAAATAACCCATTAAAAAAGTTTACTAAGCTTAAAAAACTATAACAGGTTCTTTTTTAAAATAACAAGTTCTTAGTAGAATACATTGCTGCTTTTCTACATAATCTTCTAATGGATTCAAATATTTTTCATTGAGACCAGCTTTCTGACCTATTTATAAAGATTTAAAGGGAATTAAGGTAAAACTGTTATCCAATTTATGTCCCTTAGAACTATGTAACTTTTAAACATTTTATTATGGAAAATTTCAAATATAGAAAAGAAAATAGAAAGAATAATTCTAGTATAGTAGTATAATGAGCTCTCCTGTACTTACCAGCTGCAGCAATTAACAACCTTTGACAATCTTTTACCTATCTCAACTTTGTTTTTTGTAGTATTCTGAAGCAAATCCCAGAAACTATATTATTTCACTCATAAATACCTTAATTATTTGTAGAACTTGTTCACTTAAAGCTATTTATTGAGTTACTCCTATTTTCACTGGCATTGAGTGGTTCCAATAAATCAGAACAAGACCTGCATTATAATAAAATATACCTATGTAAGGTATCCAGCACAGTAATATACACAGAATAAGCCCTTTCCCTTCCATTCTGCAGGGGCATTAAATAAAAATTTACAGTAATTCCCTAATATTATAAAATATCTAACCAGTGCTCAATATTTCATTGATTTTCTCATAATTTCTTTTTATAGTTTGAATTAGGATCCACATGAAGTGTATAGATCACAATTGGTTGATATATCTTAATTTACAAGCTCATATTCACCTCTTTTTGTTTAAACCTAGTCATTTATTTGATAAAGTAGGTTATTTGACCCTTAGAATTTTCTACAAAGTATAGTTTAATATGTTCCTCTATGTTCTGTATTTCCTATAAACTCATAGTAGAGCTAGAGCTTGATCAGAATCAGGTTGATTTTTGGCAAGACTACATCATAAGAAGTTTATGTATTTCCATCTAGAGACATGGTGGTCTCTCTTTTTCTGATATTAGCAACCATTGGTGGTCATGGTCTAGATTTGTACTTTATTCTTTATCATTTATTATACATTTTTAAAATTCATTGACTATAAAGAGTGATTTTCTATTTTTCTATATTTAGAAATGTAAATGTAACCAGTTTTTCTTTGATATGAGCTGTGTATATTCCTTGGTTTTCCAGAAATGCTTACATATTGACCCAGACAAAAGACCCTTCTGTGCTGAGCTCCTTCACCATGATTTCTTTCATATCGATGGATTTGCTGAGAGGTATAGTTCTGACTCATATTTTCTGGGGTACCCCAATCTAGAGTTAAAGTAAGGGTATTCTCTCTTATTTCTCTACCCCCCTGATTTTATAGGATCTCAAATATTTACCACCCTACCTCTATTCACCCTTAGCTATAATACTGTTTCTAGGAGTGATCCCCTGAATTCACTAAATTAGGCATCTTGGTTTTCATGAAGCAGTCACTTCGTGATTTTCTTTCTGTTTCCCATGGTGACATCTACTACTCAGGTCACTGATTTGTATGTGGCTACCAGCTGTGTGATGCCATCATCTTGGGTACAGATATGTTTGCAAAGGTGCCATCTCCTGTTGCCATTGAACTCACACCACACCTAGTCCCATAACACTGTTGTCACTGCTATGCTAGAACCTTGATGTGCCAAACTTGTGTGTGCCAGCGCTGCTGGCATGGTCTCTTGTGCTATCCCAGCTGCTGGCATCACTGCAGCTAACAAAATAAAAAATAGTGAGATGAGTGGCAATGACAATGCTTTATATTTTTGCAAATCTATTTAATAGCTTAATAAAAGATACCTTGTTTCTTTTATTTGCATTTGCATTCAGTTAGTTGTGACATGTTGTTTTGATTGAGATATATGAAGAAAGAAACTTTAGCTTCACACAGATATGTACTTGCAAAATGGAAGAGTATAATGATTGCTCTTTTAGATAATTGTGAGTATTCTTTATTGATTCCATACCCAGAACTTTGTTACTATACCAAAATTTGACAGTGGTAGTTTGTTAAAAGTTGGTTGCATTGTGGAATCTGAAGCGTATCAGTGAATTTTTCTTACCCTGTTACATTGAAATCCATTTGTCTATCTTGTACTTCGAATAGATCTTTTACCCATGCATGCTTTTTTAACATCATGATTAGTCATTTAGAAAATATTGTTTTGCTAAATAATGTAGATCTTTAAAATGATAACATATTTAATTATATAATATCAAAAAGCCACATTCTCTGTCATCAGAAAAGTCTTTTTAGGTATTGGGAATTTGTTAAGGTCACAGTAGTGGACACAAGTTTAAGAGAATTCTAATTTTGCATAAAAATTTGAATTTTATCATTAACACAAATATTATCAGTCATTTTCTTATGTTCACTAAAAAGAAATGTCTGCAGAATACTCCAAGCCTGAATAACTATAGTTTTCAAGTAAAAATGTTCCATGAAAACGGTAGTTAGTTTAGTTTGTATTTCAAATAATCACACAGTTCCTTTTCTTAAGACAGCCATTGCACTTCTGTTCATAGCAGAGGTGCTTTATGCATATTCTCTTCTTCACACAGAATATGAAAAAAGATATCTGTTCAAAGGTTTATTTTTTAATATTTTTAAAAGATTTTATTTATTTATTCATGAGAGACACAGAGAGAGGCAGAGGGAGAAGCAGACTCCATGTAGGAAGCCTGATGTGGGACTCGATCCCAGGACTCCAGTATCACGCCCTGGGCAGAAGGCAGGCGCTAAACCACTGAGCCATCCAGGGATCCCCTACTCAAAGGTTTAGATTTCATAAGAGACATTCTTTTTTTTTAATTTTTTTTATTTATTTATGATAGTCACACAGAGAGAGAGAGAGGCAGAGACACAGGCAGAGGGAGAAGCAGGCTCCATGCACTGGGAGCCCGACGTGGGATTCGATCCCGGGTCTCCAGGATCGCGCCCTGGGCCAAAGGCAGGCGCCAAACCTCTGCGCCACCCAGGGATCCCTATAAGAGACATTCTTTTTTTTTTTTTTTTTTTTTTAATTTATGATAGTCACAGAGAGAGAGAGGCAGAGACACAGGCAGAGGGAGAAGCAGGCTTCATGCATCGGGAGCCCAACGTGGGATTCAATCCCCAGTCGCCAGGATTGCGCCCTGGGCCAAAGGCAGGCGCTAAACCGCTGCACCACCCAGGGATCCCCTATAAGAGACATTCTTTTTTTTTAAATTTTTATTTATGATAGTCACAGAGAGGGGGAGAGAGAGGCAGAGACACAGGCAGAGGGAGAAGCAGGCTCCATGCACCAGGAGCCCGACGTGGGACTCGATCCCGGGTCTCCAGGATTGCGCCCTGGGCCAAAGGCAGGCGCCACACCGCTGCGCCACCCAGGGATCCCCTATAAGAGACATTCTTAAAATCTTTATTTATTTTTTTTTAAATTTTTTTTAAATTTTTATTTATTTATGATAGAGAGAGAGAGAGGCAGAGACACAGGCAGAGGGAGAAGCAGGCTCCATGCACCGGGAGCCCGACGTGGGACTCGATCCCGGGTCTCCAGGATCGCGCCCTGGGCCAAAGGCAGGCGCCAAACCGCTGCGCCACCCAGGGATCCCATATAAGAGACATTCTTAAATGAAACTGCCTTTTCTTTTTTAAAGATTTATTTATTTTTTTGAGAGAGAGAGAGAGAGCATGCATGAGCAGGGGAGGGGAGGGGCAGAGGGAGAAGGAGAGAGATTCTCCAGTAGACTCCCTGCCAAGCATGGAGCCCCATGCAGGGCTCTATCTTAGGACCCTGAGATCACAACCGGAGCTGAAACCAAAAGTTGAAAGCTTAACTAACTGAGCCACCCAGGCGACCCTGCCTTTTTTTTTTTTTTTAATTGAGAATGTGTGAATGAAGAATACGATAACTGTTGGTACAATTTGGTGTCACTTGCCTCGATTCTTGATAAGGTGCTAGCAGTTTTACCCACCATCACATACTATCAGTGCAAATGTTAAGGTAGCAAAAAAGCAGTTATTTTCATATTAAGATAAGAATAGCTTTGATCTTGTGAACCTCCTGAAAAGTTCTCAGGGATTTCTGGGGTTCCACAGACTACCTTTTGAGTACTGATAATTTAGGCCATAATTTTTCTTGTTTTAAATAACATAGTCCAGTTTAATACTCAATTTTTAAAAACATCTTGAAAATGATTTTTCTAGATCTTATACAATTTTATACAATTTTATTGAATTGACAAATGTATTTTTATGTAGATTTTCTCAAGAATTACAGTTAAAAGTACAGAAAGATGCCAGAAATATTTCTTTATCTAAAAAACCCCAAAACAGAAAGAAGGAAAAGGAAAAGGATGATTCCTTAGGTGAAGAGAGAAAAACACTTGTGGTACAGGTAAAAGTCCATGTCTTAATGTATATTTAAGTGTTTTTAAAAAATATTTATTCATTTATTTAAGAGAGAGTGAGAGAAGATGCGTGCATGTGCGTGTATGCACATGCATGTGAGCACACAAGCAGGGGCGGGGGTGGGGGTGGGGGGAGCTAGGGACAGGCAGAGGGAGAAACAGACTTCCTGCTGAGCAGGGAGCCTGACTGTGGGCTCCACCCCAGTACTTTGAGATCATGAAGGCAGATGCTTAACTGACTGGACCACCCAGTGTGTATTAAGTTTTAGATTTCATATATCTTTAAATTTTTAGAGGAAAAAAATAAAGATAAAAAAAGTTTTCTGAGTGGTGAACTGGTTGTTAACTTTTAGATTAGTTGTAAAAAAATGTATCTTCTCTCTAGAGATTACCTTTTAAAAAACTATCTTAAGGTATCATGTATTAAGTACCTACTGCATATCAAACTGTATCAGACTGTGCAATAAGTCTTGTCAGGAAATCACGTTCATCTAAGAACATTTAGACGCATGTACTCACATATAAACACATGGATACAAACACATGCATGTATTCATTGCTTTCCTTAAATGATAGAAGAGAAAATTATCATTTAAAAATTTTGTATAAAGTAGAACATTTTAAAACTGAGATTTGGGTATTTAATTTATTTGAAGTTTACTTACAGGTAGGTTATCAAGAATCTGTTCCTGGTGAGGTAATTCAAGTTCACTGCCAACCTACTCCCATTTTCTCAAGTGAACTGAAAGAAGAAGGAATTCTCAATTTATATTTCAATTTTTGTTCTTTAGATATATAAGAACAAACATGGGCATACTTGACTCACATTTTTTCTATTGAAAGATATATAAATTTGATATATGTATTTTATGTATTTGTATATATATATATATATATATACACACACACACACACACACACATATAACTCAGAGCCAGTGTGAATTGCACTTTTTAAAAAATATTTTTTATTTTTAAGTAATTTCTGCACCCAATGTGGGTTTTGAACTTACAACCCTGAGATCAAAAGTTGCATGCTGCATTGACTGAGCCAGCCAGGTACTCTATGAATTGTATTTTTATTGTAAATATATGTCTGACCAAGAATCCTGGGTTTAATTTAATTCAATAGATAAAATAAAGAAAACAGGGACATAAGGTGATATTTATGGAATTCTGCCTTAGTTGACAAATTCTTTATAGGAAGAGGTGATTTTTTCATTCTCCTCAGATCATTAATATTATCAACATTTTTATTAATGGTTAGGATACCAATGCTGATCCCAAAATTAAAGATTCTAAAGTATTTAAAATAAAAGGGTCAAAAATGGATGGAGAAAAAATTGAAAAAGTCAGTCGAGCTTCAAATGCCAGCAGTCTCCCTGACAATGGGATGAACAACATCAAAACAGTACCTTCTACAAGCCTCCGAGATTGCAGCAATGGCAGTATGGATCACACCAGAAATCCAGGCGTGGCAATTCCCCCACTTGCACACAATCTTTCCGCAGTGGCTCCCAGTATTAATTCTGGAATTGTGACTATCCCAGGAGTTCAGAGTTACAGGTATGAATTAGGAAAATAAGAACAAAGTGTTGTTTAAGGGTATGTTTGCAAATTGCAAGTGTTTGTCAATTCGGCCACATTATATTACTTTCAGGTTTCTGGGTGATCTTCATTCTTGTCAGGGTTCTGTTTCAAAAGAATTTTGCCCTATGTGATGAAAATTGTTAGGATTTGATTTAAAAAAAATTTACCTGAGTACTAAGAAAGTATGATTGTATTGTTTAAGATGAACAAAGTCTACAACTATTTAGTCTAAAAACATGGAAGGAGGTTATCATAATGAAAGAAATAATTGGTTTTAAGGGTTTGCTGCTACATGGTATGGCTGTGGGCATTTGGTGCTACAAAGAAGCTATTTTGGAAATTTTGCTGGAAGGAGAGTGATTTATTTGGTTGGAGTTGGGAGCTAGGTGGGAGGCCTGAGGGTAGTGGTAAAAGACAGAATGTTCCACCACATCTGTTCTCATTTTATATTTAAGAATAGGTGGCATTAAATGCTGATTAAACTGCATGTCACGTGGGAAATATCAGAAAGGGACACAGAACATAAAGACTCCTAACTCTGGGAAACGAACTAGGGGTGGTGGAGGGGGAGGAGGGCGGGGGGTGGGAGTGAATGGGTGACGGGCACTGAGGGGGACACTTGACGGGATGAGCACTGGGTGTTATTCTGTATGTTGGTAAATTGAACACCAATAAAAATTAATTTATTAAAAAAATAAACTGCATGTCACTTGGTTTTGTGTCAAAAACCAAAGTTTTTTTTTTTTTTAAAGATTTTATTTGGGATCCCTGGGTGGCGCAGCGGTTCGGCGCCTGCCTTTGGCCCAGGGCGCGATCCTGGAGACCCGGGATCGAATCCCACATCGGGCTCCCGGTGCATGGAGCCTGCTTCTCCCTCTGCCTATGTCTCTGCCTCTCTCTCTCTCTCTCTCTGTGACTATCATAAATAAATAAAAAATTAAAAAAAAAGAATATCTAAAAAAAAAAAGATTTTATTTATTCATGAGAGACACAGAGAGACAGAGACAGAGACAGGCAGAGGGAGAAGCCTCTGGACCCTGGGATTACGACCTGAGCCAAAGACAGATTCCTCAACCACTGAGCCACCCATGCACCCCTGGTTTTGATTTTGTGCTTGAGAAGTAATTACTGCTTGTTCTAACTTAAATTTTTTGTTGTTGCAGAGTGGATGACAAAACCAAGAAGTATTGTATTCCATTTGTTAAACCAAATAAACATTCTCCATCAGGAATTTATAATATTAATGTGACCACATCAGTAAGTAAAGTATTCCCAGTGTAGAAGAGCAAGCATTAGTCATTTCTAGACTTCTACTAATGTTAAATATAATAGTGGGAGAACTGAGAATTTTATTTGGATACACATCATAAAGTGGAATCTTAATTATATGTATATCATCCCAACCTGTCATAATCATAAATGTAAAAGTCTGTGAAGGTCTTAGAGTTTAAATAAGTTTTGCAAGTCTAGAAGTTTAAATATAAGGTATTATTTAAATGACATCTGTTTTACTTTTTTTTGGTAACAGTAAATTTTCTTAATACTTGGTAATCAGTTCTTTTGTAGAGTAGGTGACAAGATATTGTACCCCGCTCACACCAGATTTTTGGTGAAAGTATTCTATTTATTCATTTGCAAATATTTATTGATTATGTAATATGTGTGGGACCCCAGAGATGAATAAATCAAATCTCTCTCTTCAAGGAGCTCATGGTTTAATATAGGATCAACAAATTCAAACAGCATCAGATTATAATAGTGGAAGCATGTACGAGGTTGAGAGGTCTTCTGAAGGTTCAGAGGAGTGTTATTATGGTCAACATAACTGCCAGAATGCTTCTTTTTAAAGTTAACTTAAACTATTCTTCTACTCAAAATCCTCCATTGGTTTGTCAACTCTGAGTAAAGACCAAAGTCCTTAACAAGACCTCTAAGGCCCTGATTGACCTACTTCACCATCCCACTATTCCACTCAGGCTACTCTCATTCTTGATCAAAATCTACTCCAACCCACTGATTTCCTTGTATTCCTCAAATATGACCAGACATGCTCATACATTTGGACTTTTGCACTTATTTCCTCTGCTTCAGAATATTTTTTCTCCAGATAATCCTAAGAATTTTCTTGTCTGCTCCTCGGTTTACATGAGGTCTTCCCTAATATTTGAACTCATTTTGTCTCCCTTTACTTTCTATCCTCTCTTCTTGCTTAATTTTTTCCTACTGCATACACCTAATAGCCTCTATATTCACTTATTTATATATTATCTGTCTTCCTTCAACTCGAATGTAAGTTTCTAAGGCAAGAATATGTGTTTTGTTTGTTTATTTCCTTGTAGCTCTACCCCACACCCACACCTGCTATACTATACTAGTCTCTAGTATATAGAAGATGCTTAAGGAATGTGGTGAATGAATTCTTCTGCCAGGGAATGGGAGGTGTGGATGTATTCCCAAAGGAGTACTTTTCTCCCAAATTTCCCTCCTCTACCTTTCTCATTATCCACAGGCTGAAAAATGTAGGCAAAGAAATGTTGATTTCTTTGTAGATACTTTTGTGTTTTACATTCTTGGTCTGCTTTGGAAGATTACTTTGATCAACAAGGCTTTTCACAGTAGCTGGCTCAATACTACATTGCTGGAATTGATATCAGCCTTCTTTCAGGCATTGCATAATCAAGGCTGGCTGTTAATTTTAGATCTTATTTCTGTTTATCCTTACTTTTAAGAGGCAGTCAAAACAGGAGGTAGAGATTAGTGAGGAGAAGACACACTGAAGTCTTTTCTTGAGAATTAATGGAGGCAGAGCTAAGCCTAAACTTTCTTCAACATCAAGTTTGAAGACCAGTAACTCTCTCCCCTGCTCATGCTCTGATTCCAAGATGCAAATAATGTATTATTACAAACATATCTTATGTATTTTATTTGTCACTCTTTAAATACGTAAATCTAGTAGTTTAAACTCATTATTTTTTGTCCCTACAGATAGTTTTTTTGAGCTAATTATTTTATTTTATTTTTAAATATTTTATTTATTTATTCATGAGAGACACAGAGAGAGAGAAAAAGAGAGGCAGAAACACAGGCAGAGGGAGAAGCAGGCTCCATGCAGGGAGTCCAATGCGGGACTAGGTCCCGAGTCTCCAGGATCACGCCCTGGGCCAAAGGGCAGGTGCCAAACCGCTGAGCCACCCAGGCTGCCCGAGCTAATTATTTCATACTTGATTTGAACCAAGAGCCTTAGCACTTACTGTATTCAAAGAACAAGCAGAAACATCCAAATAAACTCAAAAAGCTCACTGCAGGACTTCTGAAGTTTTGTGTTATTCTTAAATTCCTAAAGTTCAGGATATCAATACAGTAGTTAAAAAAGAGGCCAAGCTTACCTAGAAGCTAATTGACTTGTTAATCATTCTGTTATTAGGTCACTAGTGAAAAGAGCCTACTTCAGACAAATAAGAAAAGAAGAGAATACTCCAAGACAGATGTCCGTTTGCCTGAACTAAACTATAATCATCTCCCTGAACTGAGAGCCTTGGAAGGGATAGGTATGTTTATAATGCCTTTACTTTTTCAGCCCTTTTTTAAAAATATTTTATTTATTTATTCATGAGAGACACACAGAGAGAGAGAGATAGGCAGAGACACAGGCAGACGGAGAAGCAGGTTTCATGCTGGGAGCCCGACGTGGGACTCGATCCTGGGTCACCAGGATCACACCCTGGGCTGAAGGCGGCGCTAAATCACTGAGTCACCAGGGCTGCCCGCTTTTTCAGCCTTTTTGTATACATTATTGAAAACATATGTTAAATAAGCTTACAAAATATTAAAAATAAAAATTATAGTAGCTTTACATATTTTTGTTTGTGAATATATATACAGACTTGTGTAAGTAAATATGTACACTGAGTACACAATAAGGGACAGATACAGAATGTAGAGAAATTAAAATGTCTAATTTTTAAACTATGTTTATGGTTATTTTTATTTAGCTCGAAATTCCAGATTAATAAGGAAAAAGAACAAAAGTCTCTCAGAATCTCGAATTCCTTCTCTGGCCACTATTGACTTGCACACGCCCAGTATCACATTACATCAGGTACCGAAATCCTCTCTAGGTGGAGAGATCTTGGGTCTCATACTTCCTTATTACAGTAGCTTAGGGAAGGTTTGCTCTTTTTTTTTTTTTTTTAAATTTTTATTTATTTATGATAGTCACATGAGAGAGAGAGAGAGAGAGAGAGAGAGAGAGAGAGAGAGAGAGAGAGGCAGAGACATAGGCAGAGGGAGAAGTAGGCTCCATGCACCGGGAGCCTGACGTGGGATTCGATCCCGGGTCTCCAGGATCGCGCCCTGGGCCAAAGGCAGGCGCCAAACCGCTGCGCCACCCAGGGATCCCGGAAGGTTTGCTCTTAAGGATGAGGCAGGTTTACTGGTGGGGTCTATAGCATTTTGTTTGTTAAAGTTTGTCTTACTGTTCATTGCACTTGATACCTTTATTACATATATATTTATATAGACATTTTCTACCTTACGGTCATCAGTTTTTTATAGATTAAAAAGTGTGTGTGTGTGTGTGTGTGTGTGTGTGTGTGTGTGTGTGTGTGTATGCGCGCACACGTGCGCTCGTGCAGACTAGCTATGGCTTTTGTATGACTTTTGTGGCAATTTATAGTATTTCACTGCATTAACCCCAGTGTTATAACTCATATTTCACTCCTTGAATTGTTTTTGTTCTTTTAAAATGTATCCTCTATTTGGCATTTTCCCTAAGAAAATCCACTCCATGCACGTTAAGGACTGGTTCTTCCATGTATAATTATTTTTCTGTAATTTCTTATAATTCTTCAGAATATTTATGTTTCTGCTGCTTTTTGACAACAGTCATATCACTCATTTTCAGATTAAGAAAACTGGCAAACTTTTAAATTTTCTGAGCCAAATATAACTGGTTATAAACTTTGGATATGTATTGTTGTACTTAGATTTCTCACATCTCCTTGATGCTGGGCAACTTTTGTATGGTTTTTAATTCTCCATCCTCATTATTGAAGCATTCCTGTTTCCTAGACAGCCCCTGTATGTTGCCTCCATATCTATGTGGATGCTTTTTTCTACTAGGACCCCTTAAATAATTTTGAAGAGCTCTACAAAAAAGGGAGTGCAACACATTACAGAGTCAGTTATCCAGTGATACTGAGAAACAGATTTATCAACTGCTATACTTTGCCTTATCTCCTGCCAACAATTTCTGCAGCAACATAATCAAAACTAAGCAAATTACTATTGTGTAAAGATTAATTACAGTCACACATTGTACTTTTAGGAACTACAGAGTCTCAATAAATTCCTTCTTTACTTCTAAACTTAAATTTAATGTGGATTTTAAAGGTTCAAACTTTCTCACTTGTTTTCTGAATGTACTGTTGTTCAAAACCACTTTCCAGGGATCAAATAGCCAAATCTAGTTTCATGAAATGGAAGACGGCTTTGGTGGCCGTCATACTTCAAAATTTTTATTTGTTCTTTTCAACAAATCCTCTTATAAACTGGTCCTGCATTTTTACTCCTAATTCACTTATTCATTTCCCAGTTGTATTTAAAATACAATAAAGGAGAAAGTAGATGTGGTGAAAAACACAAATTAGTACCAAAATAAGATGGATTTATGTGTGGAAAATCTGATTGGGAAGAGAAACAACAGGATACTAAAAGCCAAAGGCTTTCTGGCAGAAGCTGTGACTTGCCTTGCACTCTCTATGGTATGGATCAATACATTGAACTGTTTTGTTTCTGTGCCTAACACAAACATTTATAAAAGTCTATTTTTATAGACTTCTGGAACATCTGTAAGATACATTTTTGTAAGTGAAGTATTTTGAAAGTGAAGTATTTTGTATTTTGTAAGTGAAGTATTTTGTAAGTGAAGTATAATCCATGCAATCTGTCTCCACTCACCCACATCCTATGTACTTACACGTTATATACTCATGTATGCACATAGCTACACATTTTTTTCTCTAAGCATTATTTAAGTTTCATCCCACAAATTATGATATGTTGTATTTTCGTCATACTCAGTCCAAGCATTTTCTTAGTTCCTTGTAATTTCTTGTTTAACCCAGGAATTAACTTAGAAATATGTTGTTTAATAGATATTTGGGGTTTCCCTAGTATTTTATTATTATTGATATAATTTAATTCCATGTGGTCTGAGAATATACTGTGTATGATTTTGATTGTTTTATTTTTATTTTTATTTTTGACTTTGATTGTTTTAGATTCATTGAGCTATGTTTTATGGCTCTGCATATGGCTTACCTTGGTGAATGAACCTGTTCCCTTGATAATAACATGTATTCTTCAGTTGTTGGACTACTATAAATGTGAAATTAGATTAAGGTGGTTGATAGTGTCTTCAGATCTTCTATGTTCTTAATGACTTTTTGTTTGGTTGGTTTGTTCTATCAGTTCCTGAAAGAGTGCTGTCAAACTCTTTTACTGACTGTGGAATTATTTATTTTTCTCTTATACCTGTTTGTTTTTGTTTCATGAATTTTTTTATGGTGAAAAAATTTATATTTAGATTTATAGCCAGCTGGACTCAGTTTAGATGATCCCAATTTTGTTGGCAACATCCAAAGCATCATATTCAGGAGCCAGTGGAACATATGCTTTCTTCTCTCCATCAGGCCTGATCAAAGTGTTGACCTTGGCCACATCAATGTCATAGAGCTTCTTCACAGCCTGTTTGATCTGGTGCTTATTGGCCGTGACATCCACAATGAACACAAGTGTGTTGTTGTCTTCTATATTCTTCATGGCTGACTCAGTAGTTAGGGGGAACTTGATGATGGCATAGTGATCAAGCTTGTTTCTCCTGGGGTTGCTCTTTCGAGGATATTTGGGCTGCCTTTGGAGACACAGGGTCTTGGGTCGTCGAAATGTAGGTGACGTGCGGATCTTCTTTTTTTTGTGACTGTGCACGCCTTTCAGCACCGCTTTCTTAGCTTGCAAAACCTTTGCTTTGGCTTAAGCTTTGGGAGGAGCAGGAGCTTCCTTCTTCGCCTTCCGTGCCATCTTCTTGAAAGGGTGTTTCATGTATTTTAAATATCTATTATTAGGTACATATCCACTTATAATTGTTTTTGTCTTCCTGATACATTGTTCCTTTTATCATTATGAAAAGTCACTCTTTATCTTTTTTAGTGCTCTGTACCAAGAAGTCAATTTTATCTGAGATTAAAATAGCCACTCCAGCCTATTTATGCTTATTTGTTTCCATAGTATAACTTTTTACTTTCAAACTGTTTTCTAAGTTTATAGTGTTTCCTATAAGTAGGATCTTTCTTTTGTATCCATTCTGTCAGTTCAATTCTTTTAACTGAAATGTATATTAGTTTTCTATTGCTGCTGATAAACTACTACCAACTTATTTTATTATCTCACAGTTCCCATGGGTCAGACACCCGGGCACAGATGCTTCTCTCCTTGAGTCTTACAGGTCAAAATCAAGATGTCAACAGGGCTGCATTTCTTTCTGGAGGCTCTAGTGGAGAATCTATTTCCAGGCCCACTCAGATTGTTGGCAGAATTTGGTTCCATGAGGTTGTGGAACTAAAGTCCCTGTTACTTTGCTGGCTGACCCCTAGGAGTTGTTGTCAGTTTCTAGAGGCTACCCACATTCCTTGGCTTGTGGCCTACTTCTCCATCTACAAAGCTAGCAATGGTGATCAAATCCTTCTTACTCTTTGACCCTCTATTCCTCATCTCTCACTTATTCCCCTTTTGCCTCATCTCTCACTTATTCTTCTGCTTTCAAGAGTGCATGCGATTGGCTTACCAGGCCAACTATTGGGCCTGCCAGGATAATCTTTTTATCTTAGGTCAGCTGGCTAGTAACATTAATTTCATGTGTAAAGCTGCTTCGTAGCCGTAGCTAAGTTAGTTTAATTGACTAAGCAGAGTCAGGAATCTTAGGAGGTTATCTTCAGAATTCTGCCTGCTAGTGAATACTTTGGCTATTAACATTTAATGTGATTATTGATATGTCTGGATCTAGCTCTATATATTATATAAATACATATATTTTTATATATCTTATATAGATATAAGATCTAGTTCTCTATATTTTTTTTTGTTTATTCCTTTCCGGTCTTCTTTTGTATTTGAGTATTTTTAGTATTGGCTTTTTTGGGGATTTTTTGGTATGATTTTTAATGATTGCTCTAGGGTTTGCAATATAAATAATTAATCTTTCATAGTCTATGTAAATACTCTACCTCTTATAAAATGTAGAACACTTGCAAACATATTTCTTTTTATTTCAACGTGGACTTTGTTAGAATTATATGTCTTTTATTTACAGACATTGAAAATCCCACTATATTAGGTCTTACATTTTGCTCTAAACAGTCATAAATATTTTAGGCAATTTAGGGAAAAAAAGTAGTCTTCTGTATTTACCTAATCACTTACCATTTCTGTTGTTCTTTCTTTCCTAAACATTACAGTTTTATTTTCTAGTATAATTTTTCTTCAGGTTCAAAAGCTTTCTTTTTTAAAAATTTATTTAGGGTTGCCTGGGTGGCTCAGTGGTTGAGCGTCTGCCTTTGGCTCAGGCCATGATCCCAGGGTCCAGGATTGAGTCCTGCATTGGGCTCCCTGTGGGGAGCCTGCTTGTCTCTCTGCCTATGTCTCTGTGTCTCTCATGAATAAATAAATAAAATCTTTTAAAAATTTATTTATTAGGGGATCCCTGGGTGGCGCAGTGGTTTGGCGCCTGCCTTTGGCCCAGGGCGCGGTCCTGGAGACCCGGGATCGAATCCCACATCGGGCTCCCGGTGCATGGAGCCTGCTTCTCCCTCTGCCTATGTCTCTGCCTCTCTCTCTCTCTCTCTCTCCCTGACTATCATAAATAAATAAAAATTAAAAAAAAATAAAAAAAAAATCTGTAAAAAAAAAAATAAAAAAATAAAAATTTATTTATTAGAGAGAGAGGCAGAGGGAGCATGAGCAGGGGGAGAGGCAGAGGGAGAAGGAGGCTCCCCCCTGAGTAGGGGGCCCTATATGGGTCTCTGTCCCAGGACTCTGGGATTATGGCCTGAGCCAAAGGCAAACACTTAACAGACTGAGCCATCCAGGTGTCCTGAAAAACTTTCTTTAGCATTCCTTCCAGAGCAGATCTGATGAGTGACAAACTCTTTAGTTTTCCTTCATTTGAGAATGACTTTATTTTGCCTTCATTCCTTGTGTATATTTTCACTGGATAAAGAATTATGGTTGATAGGTTGCTTTTTAAAAATTTTTTCTTCCAGGACTATGAAGACATCATCCCTATATCTTCTGATCTCTGATTTCTGGTAGGATATTCTTAGGCATTTGAATTGTTCACTTGAATATAATGTTTCATTTTTGTCTAGCTGCTTTTGAGATTTTATATTTATCTTTTTGTGTTCATTAGTTTGAATATGATGCATCTAAGCAGTTTTCTTTGAGCATATCCTGTTTGGCATTTGCTGAGCTTCTTGATTTGTAAACTTACCCCTTTTACCAAATTTGGGAAGTTTTTTTTTTTTTTTAATAAATTAATTTTTATTGGTGTTCAATTTACCAACATACAGAATAACACCCAGTGCTCATCCCGTCAAGTGTCCCCCTCCGTGCCCGTCACCCATTCACCCCCACCCCCCGCCCTCCTCCCCTTCCACCACCCCTAGTTCATTTCCCAGAGTTAGAAGTCTTTATGTTCTGTGTCCCTTTCTGATATCTCCCACACATTTCTTCTCCCTTCCCTTATATTCCCGTTCACTATTATTCATATTCCAATTTGGGAAGTTTTTAATCATTATTTCTTCAGATATTTTTTGTGCCATAATCTCTTTCTCTCTTTCTTCTTTTCTGAGAGTCCAATGACATAGATATGAGACCTTTTGGTATTTTCTAACAGATTCCTGAGATCTTTCTTTCATTTTTAATTTTTAAAAAATATCTGCTGTTCAATTGGGTAATTTCTATTGATTTAGCTTCAAGTTCTTTGACCCTTCACTTTGTCATTTTCATTCTGCTATTAAGCCCATCCAGGGAGGTTTTTAAATTTTAATTACTGTATTTTTAAGTCCTAAAATGTTCACTTGGTTCTTTTTTAAGGCTTATATTTCTCTGCTAAGATTCTTGGTTCTTCATTCATTTCATTTCAAGTATGTTTTCCTTTACATCGTCTAATATAGTTTTATTACATTTTTAAAGCTATCTGTCTCTCTGCCTTTCCCTATCTATTCATACAACTTACCTAATAAATTCATAAAATTCCAACATCTGGGCCATCGCAGGATTGGTATCTGTTGATTGCTTGTTCCCTTGAGAATTGATCACAGATTCCTGCATCTTTTTATAGCCACTAATTTTGATCATGTCTGGAAACTATGACTGTCACCTTGTGTGGCCTCTGAGTCCTGTTGTAATCCTGCAGAGGATGTGGAGGTTTCTGTTTCGGCAGACAGTTATCCAGGTTTTGTTCACACTCTCAATTCTGCCGTCTTATGAGAAGTGTCTCAAATCTCAGTTCTCTACATCTCTGATATGCTAATTTGCATCTGTCTTTGCTTGTGTGGCTCAGGGGGTTAGCTAGAGCCTCGTGCAGGTCATTGACATCTCAGTTCAGTTCTCCCGGCCCTTGCTGTGCTGGTTTGGAGCTGCCCCATGCCTGCATGCTTCAGGAACTGGGCTGAGCTGCTAAGGGTCTACACACATGAGAGGGACCCCTCCTCTAAATCTGTTCCCTCCAGGACCATTCCCTTCTCCTGATACTTCCTGGCCCGCAGGGACCCCTTTTCCTGGTTTCTCTTGTGTAACAAAGGAGTTTCTATCAGACTTTGAGCCTCTTGCACTTCTTCACTACTTTGAGACAAGGACCAGCCTTTTGGGCAGAGCCACAGGAATAAAAAACAAAATTGGAAACCTACCCTCTATGAAGGGTCACATTGTCAACTTTTGACTCCTCTCCTTAATCTTCAGTTGTTTTTAATATTTTTCCTAAAGGTTTTTTATTTGTTTTGTAATAGTTGGGAGAGAGGGGTTGTAGTGGGTTTAGACTACCTTGGCATATCAGAAGTATCTTTTAACATGTGTCAACAAAGAGGTTAAAGAATAACATCACTTCATCATTGTCTTCTGTGCAAGCAGCTTGAGCTATGAATGCTTAATTCTAAACATCTGATATTTGAACAACAGGAATTAGGATTTGGGGAGGAATGGGATTTTTATAGTTACTGAGAATTTATGATGCTCGATTATTAACTTACAGGTGTCAGGACCTTCCCTGTTAGATGATTCAGAGGCTGATTTGCCTTGGATGGAACACCAGCACTGAGAGTCATTTTGGTTCTGAACTGGGTATGTCTATTTCTCATACTTAAAGCAAAATAATCTTCCATGGGGCTTATTTTGTAGCTTGCTGAAGTCCAAATTCTGCAGCTAAATCATTCTCCAGTGATTGGCTCCATGAGAACTCCTGATAGAGAAAGACTTGTGCCACTTAAAAAATAAAGAGAGAAGTAGCATTTGTCTCTGGGATGAAATTCCTTTTCATAGAGTTTACATCTCTTGTCCTTAGACTAATCTCCTGTATTTTTCTGGATACAGTAATGTGAATTTATGGTGATAACTGCTGTGGAAGAATATATACTTATCTCCCTTATCAGTCAGTTGTCCATGCGGGTTTGTAAATCAAGAAAGACAAAATGATTGCTTTGGTAATCTTTTTCCCAATAAAAAAAGATCAGCACTCTACTAGATGATTACCTTACTTTTATTTTTTATTTACTTACTTTAAAAATTTTTTTGCTTCTAACGGACTTTATCATTGTCCTGCTACTTTGCCACAGTAAAAAGGGCCCTGCAAGCTCCAGGCCTGTACCATGTATCACCCCCACAAAAACAGGACCCGCTGGAGCAAGTTCCCACCCCTGCTGTAGACCTACTCACAGGATAAGTACATGTTATAATTTTTTAAAAAAGAAAACAGAAGAAATTAATAAGAAATTAATAGCTTAAGTGATTAGGCACCAACACTGATTTGAAAAGTGCAGTGCCAATTTTAAATGGTAACCAGATTGCCTCCCTTTTAAGTATGACTGTTTAGTATTAAAAAAAAAACCAAACCAAAAATTAGGTCTTTTGAGTGGTAAGTTACTATGTGACTTCAGACAAGTCATCTGATGTTTAATATCTCATTAACTCTGTAAAATATAATGATAATAAAATCCCATTTTCGCATAAATGTTTGTTGGAATTAAGCTGTTAATCTCCACAACACATTTTGAACGTCTGTGACATCATCATATGTGAATTTACTATGAAGTAAGCAAGTCTTAAGTTTTAATTTCTCACTAGTATGAGTCTCTTCCAAGGCCCTGGCAGAGTCTTTGCAATGCACTCATTACACATACTGTGTAAACTGTAGCCTCTATAAATAATAATTTTTATTATTTTTATTATATTATAATAATGTAACAATTATTGTATTAAATAATTACCATAACAATCTAATAATTATTATATTAATAATTAATAGTTAATAATTATATCCTCTATAATTTGGATCTGTTTTGTCAAAACTAGTCATTATTTGCATAAAAGGAGATGATATGCAATACGTGACAGTTTCGGTGGATCATTGTCTTCAAAATCCCATTTTTGATATATATGGTCTAAAGTTGTTTTTAGACTATGTAATACTTATAATATTATAAATATATTCAGTGTGCGAAAGCAAGTGAGATAGAAATCAATTTCTAGAAAAACTTATGTAAATTATTTGGGCATATGTCCCTCTGTGCTTTTAGGTGCTCTAGCTCTTGGGATGACATCCTTTTGCAACAGAAGTGCTGATATCCTATGAAGAGAGATTCATGGTTTTGTCATTTGTTTCTGAACTGCCTGCATTTTCTGAGAAAGGCCTTGCAGAAGAAAAAAGACAGATTTCCAAGTGTTTCCAACGAAGACTGAATAAGTGTCCCTCCCCAACTGCTATCCTGTCACCTTTCAAGTCCACTGTTGCGATTTTAAGATACACCCAATTGAATAATACTGATATGGTTCTTATTACATGAATGCTTATTTACTATTTGTAGATTGTGCATTTAAAATTACCCAAGATTAAAATGAGTTTAAAAAGGGAGAAAGAAACATTATAATGGTCATGTTGTATGAAGTTTCCGTGTTATCTGTGTAAATGTGTACATTTATTTAGGAATGGGTTTGGTGGAGGTGGGTGATTAAAAACTAGGAACAGTTGAAGAAATGAAAAAACTAGCATCAGTAAGAGAAACTGTTTCCTTTACCATAATTTAACTATAAATATACATTTAGAAAGCTTGCTTGTTTCTAGGCTTTAAGAAGATATGTAGTTGCTATCTATGAATAGATGTATGTCTGGTTTCTGTGATTATTGTTGATGTTTGATCATTGTATTATGGGAATCTTTCCTTTCTGCTGAACCACACAAATGCAAATTTCTCAAAGAAACCTTTTATTTCTAATGACTAAGACTCTGACCTTAGATAGTCCTCTGCATTGTAAGATTCTGGTGTCCATGTTCCTGTGTGTAGGAACATGACTGCAATAAGAATGGTAAAGGAGAATTTTGTAGGTTTACCTTGGAGTTGAGAATATGTTTGTCAGTGGGAAAGGAGATGGGAAGCTGGGTTACCCACTGACTAGGACTGATGATTTTTCTCTAGGCCAGTTATTGTCGACCTCCCCCCACCCTCAAACAAGTTTTGGGGAGGAAACATCCACAATTATGGACTTCACTCCTGTCCGCTGATATTTTGAAGGTGATATCAGACAGAATCTAGAAGTGTTCTTCTCTTCTTGTTTCCTCAAATGCTTAGGCCTTCCTGAAAGTTCTTTATCAATAGGCAAAACTATCTACCTACAATCCACACATCTTTTCTTGTGCCTCAGTCCATCACTTTAAGGTGGGATACTTACGCCAATTTGACTCTAGGTTTTTGGTTTCTAGTTTGCTGGTCATACTATGCGTTCTTGGTTTTAAAGAATGGTTGTTAAGAGGACCAAAATTTGTGTGTGTTTTTTGCCTTAACCAGTTAACAACATGTTGTTTTTTCCAAAAGGCACTGACCAGAACTTAGCCCAAGAATTTAACTAGTACTTTCCTCTATTACTCTGAATAGCTTAATATTGAAATTCTGACTTTAGATACTTGGTCCTCAAAAGAATAGGACATTCAAGAGGATGCAAATTGAGGGATTCCAATGTAGAAGTGTATAGGTGGTTCAATTAAAATTCAATTAAAAGCTTGATTTTGAAGCTCTATTTTTAACCTATGACCGAGTGTTTGACTAGATTGGTATGACTAACATGCTAGACAAAATTAATGTGTAGGCATTAATAGGCTTCACATCAAGATATTGTTTTATTTTTATTTTAAAAAGTATTGCCAACACACTGTACAGTGTAGGAAGCAGACAATATTTAAAAGCCACGTGGCTTTCCAGATTATTTTGATGTTATTTTTATTTAAATATCAGTGTGAACATCTCACCTCAATGTCTGAGGATCTAGGATCAATTACCTTTTCATTTCTATATTTGCTTTTGGTATATTTTGCCTATTAAAACATTGTGAACTTCAGAATTAAGGAACTAAATATAATTTACTATATGTGCAAGTTGAGACCTGAGTATCATATCTGGTTAGAACCTTGGCAGAACTACTTGAAAGGGAAGATTTTGGAAACTGGGGCTATAGATACTTAACCAAAAATAATTCTTTCTTTTGGTTTAAGATTACTTTGCTCTCCTTACAAACATACGATTAAATCTAATAGGAAATATGTATGTGTACTGGTGGGGAGAAATTGGCTTGCTGTATAGGTGTATGTTTTAAAATGAATAAATATTATATCTTACTGAGCTCCACAGATGGTTTTCTTTGCATTTATTTAAGAGAATACAAATAATGTATACAACATTGTATGCAATTTAACAATTACATTTGAATACTCTCTTAATTCTTTTTTTTTTAAACTTTGGATACTGAGGTGGCAAGTCTTTTTAAAATTAAGTTTATAATTTTAATTCTAGTATAGTTAACATAGTGTTATGTTAGTTTCAGGTGTACAATATGGTGATTCAGCAATTCTATACATTACTCAGTGCTCATCACAGTAAGTGTACTCTTGATCCTCTTCACCTATTTCACCCATACCCCACATACCTCCCTTCTAGTAACTGATGAGCATCATTTTCTATTTAGGGTCTGTTTTTTGGTTTGTTTGTTTTTATCCCCCTTTGTTTGTTTGTTTTCTTCCTTAAGTTCCATATGAATCTTGCAAATGGCAAGATTTCATTCTTTTTTTTTTGGCTGAATAATATTCCATTTGTATATATATATACATATATATATATATATTTCACTTCATCTTTATCCATTCATGTATTGATGGACACCTGTGGTGCTTTCATAATTTGGTTATTATAAATAATGCTGCTATAAGCATAGGGGTGCATTTATCTTTTTGAATTAGTATTTTTGTACTCTTTGTATTGTATTCAATACAGTTAGTATTTTTGTATTCTATTACCCAGTAGTGGAATAACTATTAGTTTTGTTTTTAATTTTTTGAGGAACCTCCATACTGCTTTCCACAGTGGCTACATCAGTTTTCATTTCTACGAGCAGTACACGAGGATTCCTTCTTCTCCACATCCTCACCACACTTGTTGTTTCTAATGTTTATGGTTTTAGTCATTCTGACAGATGTGAGGTGATATCTCATTGTAGTTCTGATTTGCATTTCCCTGATGATGAGTGATGTCAAGCATCTTTTCATGTGTCTGTTGGCCACCTATATGTCTTCTTTGGAGAAATGTCTGCCCATGCCTTCTGCCTATTTTAATTGGATGATTTGTTGCCAAGTTAGTTTTCTTGTACAGCACATGATACAAGCAGCTGGGTCATAAAGTAACATGTCTTGTAAAGACTACCTGGTCAAAGCTGTGAAGACTGAGTATTTGAACTTGGGTTTCCTGATCGAGAATCCCTTGCTTGGTTAAAATAACGGACTTCCTACTAAAATGGAAACCGAGAAGATGGATTTCCTTACATGACTCTCTCATTATTGGCTCTTTTATCTGAGTTGTGCTACAACAGTTGCCTTGATCTGTAATAAACTCTGTGTCAGGCTAGACTGAAAAATGTGATTGACTTGTTTTCTAATCCTTCATCTATAGAACTGAACCACTGACAGAAAATTAGAAACAGCAGGGTCATGGCTCCTAAGGCTTTAAGGCTGGTCCTCATGAATTGGATGAAATGGATTTTTCTTTATTGTTTTGTGTTGTGGGTTTTACGTTGGTAATGGATCCTTAACACTCTTCTATATGAATGAAAAATTATGTTTTTCATTCACTGCTTTTATTATTTTTTTAAGGCTTTTATTTGCTTGACAGAGAGAGCACAAGGAGGGGTAGCAGCAGAGGGAGAAGGAGAAGCCGGCTCTCTACTGAGCAGGGAGCCTGATGTGGACTCAATCCTAGAACCCTAGGATCATAACCTGAGCTGAATGCAGACACCCAACCGACTAGCCACCCAGGCGCCCCTTATTTTTCCTCTTGATAGCTTCTGACATGAGAAAACTTGAAACTGATTAATGTACGGTTTGTTTCTTAACAAACCCCAAACCTTGACATCACTTGTCATCACATGTAACTTGGGATTAGAGCATTGTGTTTATGTTTGTGGATATCTGATGTTGAATATACTATACAGTGAGAAAATTTTCTCTCTAAAAAAAAGCTAACCCATCTGCAAAATGTTATTTTCCTTTGCCCTCAGTGAAATTTTGTTTCTCCCCATTGCATAGCCTTTATTCAATCCCTTATGTTCTACTTTGGCATGCAGGGTCATCTCCTGTAGAAGTGAGGAAAATTCAGGGATGCCTGGGTGGCTCAGTGGTTAAGCGTCTGCCTTCACCTCAAGGTGTACTCCCAGAATCCTGGGATGGAGTCCCGCATCAGGCTCCTTCTGCTTGTCTGCTTCTCCCTCTGCTTATGTCTTTGCCTCTCTCTGTGTGTCTCTCATGAATAAGTAAATAAAATCTTTTTTAAAAAAGCGAGGAAGGTTCTAGCAAAATTTTAGAAAATTTATTATTGGTTAGCATGAATTAAAGTAAGAAAGAATCAGGTAAATGAAACCAAAATATTCAATTCAGCATGCTTTTCTGTTCCTAGTCCACAGGAGGATCTCTTATCAGTCAAGAGAATGGGTTTTTTGTCATTTTATTTCCATTAGGCTATCTCCATGTTTCTAGATCTGGAAAATAATCTCCACTGACATAGCTGCTAGAATTTAAAACTCTTCCTCCACCCCATGACAATAGTGTTCTAATTGGTTGCTTTCCTCCGCAACTTGTTTTTAGCCTCTTTGGATCATTGTTCCTTTTGCTTACATGTATACCTACTGTTTGCTCCCCCCCCCTCTCTCTCTATATATATATAGTAGAAAAGCTGTTTATTAAGTGGTTCCTAGACCCTCCAGAAGAGTCAAGGCCTGGTTTAATGCAATCCCTATCAAAATACCATGGACTTTCTTCAGAGAGTTAGAACAAATTATTTTAAGATTTGTGTGGAATCAGAAAAGACCCCGAATAGCCAGGGGAATTTTAAAAAAGAAAACCATATCTGGGGGCATCACAATGCCAGATTTCAGGTTGTACTACAAAGCTGTTGTCATCAGGACAGTGTGGTACTGGCACAAAAACAGACACATAGATCAATGGAACAGAATAGAGAACCCAGAAGTGGACCCTGAACTTTATGGTCAACTAATATTCAATAAAGAGGAAAGACTATCCACTGGAAGAAGGACAGTCTCTTCAGTAAATGGTGCTGGGAAAATTGGACATCCACATGCAGAAGAATGAAACTAGACCACTCTCTTGCACCATACACAAAGATAAACTCAAAATGGATGAAAGATCTAAATGTGAGACAAGATTCCATCAAAATCCTAGAGGAGAACACAGGCAACACCCTTTTTGAACTTGGCCACAGTAACTTCTTGCAAGATACATCCACGAAGGCAAAAGAAACAAAAGCAAAACTGAACTATTGGGACTTCATCAAGATAAGAAGCTTTTGCACAGCAAAGGATACAGTCAACAAAACTCAAAGACAATCTACAGATTGGGAGAAGATATTTGCAAATAACATATCAGATAAAGGGCTAGTTTCCAAAATCTATAAAGAACTTATTAAACTCAACAGCAAAGAAACAAACAATCCAATCATGAAATGGGCAAAAGACATGAAGAGAAATCTCACAGACGAAGACATAGACGTGGCCAACATGCACATGAGAAAATGCTCTGCATCCCTTGCCATCAGGGAAATACAAATCAAAACCACAATGAGATCCCACCTCACACCAGTGAGAATGGGGAAAATTAACAAGGCAGGAAACAACAAATGTTGGAGAGGATGCGGAGAAAAGGGAACCCTCTTACACTATTGGTGGGAATGTGAACTGGTGCAGCCACTCTGGAAAACTGTGTGGAGGTTCCTCAAAGAGTTAAAAATAGACCTGCCCTACGACCCAGCAATTGCACTGTTAGGGATTTACCCCAAAGATTCAGATGCAATGAAACGCTGGGACACCTGCACCCCAATGTTTCTAGCAGCAATGTCCACAATAGCCAAACTGTGGAAGGAGCCTCGGTGCCCATCGAACGATGAATGGATAAAGAAGATGTGGTTTATGTATACAATGGAATATTCCTCAGCCATTAGAAACGACAAATACCCACCATTTGCTTCAACGTGGATGGAACTGGAGGGTATTATGCTGAGTGAAGAAAGTCAATCGGAGAAGGACAAACAGTGTATGTTCTCATTCATTTGGGGAATATGAATAATAGTGAAAGGGAATATAAGGGAAGGGAGAAGAAATGAGTGGGAAATATCAGAAAGGGAGACAGAACATGAAGACTCCTAACTCTGGGAAACAAACTAGGGGTGGTGGAAGGGGAGGAGGGCGGGGGGTGGGGGTGAATGCGTGACAGGCACTGAGGGGGGCACTTGACGGGATGAGCACTGGGTGTTATTCTGTATGTTGGTAAATTGAACACCAATAAAAAATTAATTTATTAAAAAAAAAAGAGTCAAGGCCTGATTCTGAAGTCACATGGGCAAGAACGAAAATCCAGTGTCACCACTCCCACTAAATTTTCTGTGTCTCTAAAGATTGGGAACTCTACCTTATTTATCTATTTCTGTTCCACAGTGTCTCCCACAGTGATTTCTCCTCCTCCTCTTCCTCCTCCTCCTCCTTCTCCTTCTCTACACCATTGGTAGGGCTCAAATTCACAGCCTCAAGATCAAGAGTTACATACTCTTCTGACTGAGCCAGCCAGATGCCCTTAACACAAAGATTTCTATGTGACAATAGTAATAATCTGTGAAGGAAGGAATGTAAATTGTATTTTATAGGCAAGGTACTAGGCCCAGAAGGTTTAAGGAATGTACTCAGCATCACTCAATAAATGGTAGAATCATGTGTGTTTGTTAAAATACATATATGAGTATGATTATTTAGAAGATCTGGAGTGAATTTAAAAATTTTTGTTTAGATAATATACACTTTGGGAGATTAGACTCCTGGAGCCACATGCTGCTTCATTCACTTATGGAAGATGACGTGTGTTTCTCTAGCCATCAGATAAAATTTCATTCTAAGCTGAATTTGGATATTGCTCAGTGTGAATGAAGCACTGTAGCTAAGAGGATGGTATGCACCTATTGGCTTGGGCCTGTGTTAAATTCTTTTGTCTGAATTAATAACAGGAGCAAGAGGAAACAGGATGGTGCTGATTGGCTTAGGGTGATGACAGTTTACCTGTGGAACCAGGTAAACAAAGCTA